CTTTCATGAACATAATCGCCTAGTACGATTATGTATTGTGCCAAGAATGGGCAACTGATGCGATTGTTCGTTCTAGCTTCGTGAGGCGGAATCATTGGCGCAGGAATTGAAAGATGATTTGGAAGCAGAGAAGGCGGCACGCGATCGAGCGGAGAATCGAAAACGTGACCTTAAGGAGGAATTGGAAGCCCTCCGTCTGGAACTTATCGACTCAGGAACCAATTCTGAGGCTCAGGCTGAAGCTCTACGTAAACATGAAGCGGAGCTTTCCAATGCGCGCAAGCAAATTGAAAGCGATGCTGCGTAGGTTACTTCTCAACTTCTTACTATCACCTTTTTCCTTATCTACTCAGCAATCCTCCATTCCTCTCCTCTAGTGCTCATGAGGTTGCTGTGGCTGAGCTGCGCAAGAAGTACAATGCCAATGTTGAACAGCTTACGGAACAACTGGAAGCCATGAAGCGAGTAAAGGTGGCCATGGAGTCATCCAAGTCTCAACTGGAGGCCGGTAATGCGGACCTTACCAGCCAACTGAACACTGCTCTGGCCGCTAAGTAAGTTGTAATACTTAAGGTAATCGTGGCTGTGCATGTCATAATCTCTTGCGGGACAGTAATTTTGTGCGTGAATGAATTCTGAGCTTAGGCATCATCATGTATTTATTTTTCATAGAGCGGAGTCGGAGAAGAAGCGTCGTGCAATCGAACAGAAGTTGAATGACAAGTTTATGAAACTGGAGGAGTCAGAGCGTCAGCGCGTAGACATCGAGGAGCGGTTTAGCAAAGCACAGGCTGAGCTGGAGGCGGCCAACAAGGCTCTGGAGACATCGGAAGCAGAACTAGCTAAACTAACTCGTTCAGATGCTAACAACACCACCACCATCGCTGAGTTGAAGCAGAGTTTGGAGGACGAGACACGTGCCAAACTGGCTCTGCAGACGCGTCTCAGGCAGGCTGAATCGGAACGTGAAGTTGCGAAAGACGCTCTAGATGAGGAGGAGCAAAATAAGCAGGCTCTTGAGAAGCACGTTCAGATGCTTCAGCAGCAGGTCTATTTGTTAGTCTATTCTTCACTCTCTCCCTATGTACTTTATACGTATTGTCGACCTCATTTCAGATGGACGATGTTAAAGCCAAAGTAGCCGAGGATGCCCAGCAGTTGGAGGGACTGGAAGACACTCGCAAGAAACTTCAACGTGAAAAAGATGAACTGGCAAATCGCAATGAGGAGCTTGCGGCGCAGGTTGAAAAGCTGGAGAAGTCACGGCGCAAGCTACAGGCAGAGGTAGGCCTAGTTAACCGTGCATGATTATTTTTTAATGCACACATCGATTTCATTACAGTTGGAAGACGCCAATCACGCACTGGCGGCACAACGGTCGGATCAAGTTAACAGTGATCGTCGATTGAAGAAGTTGGAGGCCTCGTTAGCGGATGCCACGACGAATGCAAGGAGGCTCCAAGAGGAGAAGGACCAGGCAGACAAAGACATGCGGGAGCGGGAGACTCAACTCCTTACACGGGATCGCGAGTTGGAAGACCTTCAAGAACGTCTGGAGGAGTCTGAACGCCAGCGGGCCAATTTGAGTCACGAACTGGAAGAGCTTGTTTCTCATACTGACGATGCTGGGAAGAGCAAGATCGAGTTGGAGCAGATTAACTTTCAACTAGAGAACCAACTGAAAGAATTGAAACAGCAGTTCGAAGAACTGGAGGATGATCAGGCTCAGCTTGCAATGGAGAAGCAGCGTGCTGATGTAGGCCTATTAATTGGTTTTCCTTTCAATACTTGTTGAGTTCCCTTGTATTTTCTTCCCCTTTTCTTTTGTCAGCTTCAAATAAATGCACTTAAGGCACAATTGGAACGTGAATTAACGAGCCGCAACGAGGGATTTGAGGAACAACGTCGTCAGTTGTTGAAACAATTGCGTGAAGCGAAGGAGGAGTTGGAAGATGAGAAGAAGCAGCGAGCAACCGCCCTGCTCATGCGAAAGAAGATCGAGGGTGACCTTGCTGATGCCAATCAACGCGGGGATGCAGCTGACCGACAACGTGAGGAAGCGGCAAAGCAGTTGAAGCGTCTACAGAGCGTCAGTATTGAGCTTAAACGTGATTTAGACGCTTCATTGAAGGCGCGTGATGATGCAATCTCAGCGATGCGGGAATTGGAGAAGAGGATTCGCACTGCGGAGGCCGAGCGGACCCAAGCCATGGATGACCTCTCTACGGCTGAACGGGTTTGCCGAACCGCTAAGCTGGAGAGAGATGAGGCTCTCGAGGAGGCTAATAGTGCCCTCACCGCCAAGTATTTTTCCTTTTGCTATGATCCGTCGTATTTTTTTCGGGTTTATGCTATTTTAGCGTTTTCGCAGATTTTTTCTTTCCTACTCCTTCGCCTATTGAAGGGTTTCGTATTCTCAAAACCTTGTTGCAGATATTTGGAATTCTTTTGAATGTACAGTTCCCCTGCTTAACTTTTATTCGGAACGTCATGATGATTTGGCTTGGGGCTCATCAGGTCCGTGAATCCCACCTTCCTCTATCCTCAAAATTTTTATAACACAAACTGGGAATCTCCGTAACGCAAAGTAGGGACCCGGTAATTGTCTCATTCCTTTTTTTATCTATCTCTTCCAGAGTATATTTGCGTACACTTTTCCGTGGAGTCTGGTATTAGTTATATGGAGGAACAGCTGGTTTACGTTTGGCATAACAGAGATTCGTTTCGTACATTCAGGCAGACGCTGGCTCACTTGGTAACTTCACTAGTCCACTTGTTTGTCAATAATCCATTGTCAGAGCGCTTTGGTAACGAATCAATACGAAATGTGCTTCTTGAACTTTTGCAGAAACGCATTCTCGTCTCTTCCTTTACAGCGCTGTATGTGATTTGATTCCTCAAATCGCCCGAAAAACGCTTCATTATATTGGTGATCCAAAGATAGTGGAAATAGTGCGATTACTTTGCCCGACCA